CTTCCCCGACTCCGCCAGCTACGGCTACACGACACGCAGTGGCCGGATCACTCTCGCTCTCAACCAGCTGGTTGTCGAGATCTCCGAGCCGATCCTCGATGCCCAGGCCGTGGCCGTCCTCGACACCGCTTGGATCCTTATCTCCAGCCTCCCCGACATTGCGCGGTCCGAGCTCGTCATCCGCCAGATGTCCCGTCTCTTGGGCAAGGTGGTGGTGGTCGATGAGCTCTCTGTGCGCAAGGAGGAGGAGGTCCGGGTCAAGGTCAAGTGCCTCGACTCCTCCAAGCTTCACACCTCCGTTCGCGTTTTCTTCAACGACTAGGGCTTCGACCTCAGGATCGCCCCCGAACCCCCCAACCACGTTGGTCGCCCCCGCTCCTTCAACGTCGGCCTCCCCGGCGGCAACCCGGGGGGCGATGGGGATTACCACGGTCGTCACCACGCCCGCTCCCACCACTCGGATGAGGATGGGGCCTCGGAGGACTCCCGCTCCCCGTCCCCTTCGCCCCCTCCTCCTGCCGCGGGGGGCAAGGGCCGCCAGGCCGCGCCCAGTCTGCTCCTTGGCAGGCCCTCGGTCTCTGCAGCATCGTCCTCCGAGGGGAGCGAGATCTCCAGTGTTAGTATGGTAGTCTGCCTAGCCTCTTCACCGCTCTCTCCCTCCTCACCTCCCCCCGTCGCGCGGGATTCAGCGGACTTGTCCCTTGGTCTGCTCCCGGCTACTTCGATGGCGCCCTCGGTGGGGGTTACACTTCCAGTGGCGGACCCCTGATGTCTACTACACAACCTTCTTCTTGTAGACGTTGTTGGGCCTGCAAGTGCACAGGTTTGTAGGACAGTAGCAAATTTCCCTCAAGTGGATGACCTAAGGTTTATCAATCCGTAGGAGGGTAGGATGAAGATGGTCTCTCTCAAGCAACCCTGCAACCAAATAACAAAGAGTCTCTTGTGCCCCCAACACACCCAATACAATGGTAAATCGTATAGGTACACTAGTTCAGCGAAGAGATGAAAATACAGGTGCAAAATATATAGTAGATAAAGGTTTTTGTAATCTGAAAATATAAAAACAGCAAGGTAGCAAGTGCTAAAAGTGAGCATAAACGGTATTGCAATGATAGGAAACAAGGCCTAGGGTTCATACTTTCACTAGTGCAAGTTCTCTCAACAATAATAACATAGATAGATAATATGACAAGCCCTTAACATGCAGCAAAGAGTCACTCCAAAGCCATGAATAGCGGAGAACAAACGTAGAGATTATGGTCGGGTACGAAACCACCACAAAGCTATTCTTTCAGATCGATCTATAAAAGAGTTTGTACTAGAATAACACCTTAAGATACAAATCAACCAAAACCCTAATGTCACCTAGATACTCCATTATCACGTCAAGTATCCGTGGGCATGATTATACGATATGCATCACACAATCTCAGATTCATCCAACCAACATAAAAGTACTTCAAAGAGTGGCCCAAAGCTATTACCGGAGAGTCAAGAACGTGTGCCAACCCCTATGCATAGGTTCCCAAGTGTCACGAAACCCGCAAGTTGATCACCAAAACATACATCAAGTGGCACATGATATCCCATTGTCACCACAGATAATCATGGCAAGACATACATCAAGTGTTCTCATAAAGACTCAATCCGATAAGAAATCTTCAAAGGGGAAACTCAATTCATCACAAGAGAGTAGAGGGGGAGAAACATCATAAGATCCAACTACAATAGCAAAGCTCGGGATACATCAAGATCGTGCCATAGAGGAACACGAGAGAGAACACGAGAGAGAGAGATCAAACACATAGCTACTGGTACATACCCTCAGCCCCGAGGGTGAACTACTCCCTCCTCGTCATGGATAGCGCCGGAATGATGAAGATGGCCTCCGGTGATGGGATCCCCCTCCGGCAGGGTGCCGGAACAGGGTCCCGATTGGTTTTTGGTGGCTATAGAGGCTTGCGGCGGCGGAACTCCCGATCTATCTTATGTTCTGGAAGTTTTAGGGTACGTAGGTATATATGGGTGCAGGGGGAGCGTCGGTGGAGCTACGGGGGGCCCACGAGGCAGGGGGCGCGCCCAGGGGGGAGGGCACGCCCCCCCACCCTCGTGAGCACCTCCCGTATCTTCTGACGTGGGGTCCAAGTCCATCAGGTGGGTTTCCTTCCAAAAATAACTTCTCCAGTTGATTTCGTTCCGTTTTGACTCTGTCTGATATTCCTTTTCCTCGAAACACTAAAATAGGCATAAAACAACAAATCTAGGCTGGGCCTCCGGTTAATAGGTTAGTCCCAAAAATAATATAAAAGTGGATAATAAAGCCCAATATTGCCTAAAATGATAGATAAAATAGCATGGAGCAATCAAAAATTATAGATACGTTGGAGACGTATCAAGCATCCCCAAGCTTAATTCCTGCTCGTCCTTGAGTAGGTAAATGATAAAAAAGAATTTTTGATGCGGAGTGATAATTTGGCATAATTTCAATGTAAATCTTCTTGCTTGTGGTATGAATATTCAGATCCGAAAGATTCAAGACAAAAGTTCATATTGACATAAAAATAATAATACTTCAAGCATACTAATCAAAGCAATCATGTCTTTTCAAAATAACATGGCCAAAGAAAGTTATCCCTACAAAATCATATAGTCTGGCTATGCTCCATCTTCCTCGCACAAAGTATTTAAATCATGCACAACCCCGATGACAAGCCAAGCAATTGTTTCATACTTATGACATTCTCAAAACTTTTTCAATCTTCATGCAATACATGAGCGTGAGCCATGGAT